TGATGAGAACTCTGGAGAAAGCTATAAGGATAGCAGTTATTGAACATAGGAGTTGGAAGCAAGAGCTCTTTACTTTCCTGCGCCAGTACAGAGCAACCCCCCATAGTACAACTGCTAGATCACCCTCAGAGCTTCTGAATGGTAGGAAATTAAAATCTACACTACCCATCCACAAGCAGGAACAACCATTCCATGATGTCAGACAGACAGATGCCAACAAGACAGAGAAGATGAAAGCTTATGCAGATAAACACAATCATGCTAAGCACTCTGATTTTGAGGTTGGAGATAGAGTTCTCATTAAGCAACCTAAACACAACAAGCTTTCAACCCCTTTTTGTCCAGAGCCATTGGAGATAACACAAAAGAAAGGGAGTATGGTTACTGCTCAAAATGCAGACCACTCAGTGACAAGAAATAGCTCATTCTTCAAGAAGCTTCCTTCAAATACTCCAGTGTCTCCGAATTTAAATGACTGTGATGATGAAATTCAAGGGGACTTACCGACGCCAGTTGTGCATGCTGATGAATCGTCTTGTCAGCCAAGAAGATCTTCACGCATCAGAAGACTTCCAACACATTTAAAGGACTCGCAAGACAGGACACTTTGCTAAGGTTTGTCGAAGCAAACCTGCTGACTCGAAGGTCAATGCTACTGCTGAAAATAAATCAGATGAATCCTCTGATGAGGAATATGCTTACAGTCTTACTGTCAACTCAGTCAAAAAGAAGGGACATCCAACCAGTGAAGTATCAATAAGAGACAACACTGTTGAATTTCTTATAGACTCTGGAGAGGGTGTAAACATCATGGATTCAGATACATACAACAAGATAAATCCCCATTTACATGCAACATCAATGAAAATTTTTGGTTACAATGCAGACAACCCTCTGCCACTTCTTGGCAAGTTCAGTACCACTGTCATTTCAAAAGTCACTGACACCTCGGCAGATGTACAGTTCTATGTAGTACATGGTGGTGCAGGCAATTTAATGAGTTATCAAACTGCGACAGATCCGGGTTTGTTACACATTGTAAACAGTGTTTCATCCTCAGAAGCATCAAACAACATCATAAAGCAGTATGATGACCGTTTCCATGGCCTTGGAAAAATGAAAAGGAAAATCGCGAAGCTACACATCAACCAAGAAGTCAAAGCACTTGCACAGAAACATAAAAGAATACCATTTAACCTTCGAGACCAGGTAGAAGCCGACATCAGAAAATTAGAAGAGCTTGACATAATAGAAAAAGCCGAGGGCCCTACACCTTGGGTGTCGCAGATAGTAATTGTCCCAAAGAAAACAGGTATACGCATTTGTGTTGACATGAGGGCTGCTAATGAAGCCATAGAGAGAGAACGACATCCTGTACCTACCATTGAAGATCTCTAACTGTGGACGGCTGGTCTTAATGGTAGCTGCTTTGATAGCTCCCAATGTGTGGTTAATAATTATTTAAGGTAGAGTTTTAATTTGTAATATTTCGGAGCTTTTTACAATTTAACTACTAAACTAATTAGAAATATTGCATTTGTTTAATCTTCTGCAATGGTTCCGGCTGGAAAAGTGTGGCGGCCTAATGGTCATGGCACCCTAGACATCCTACAGGTGTGTAAATGAGTGGAGGCGAATTTAAAACAGGAAGAAACCATGTGATGGATTAGCATCCCATCCAGGGGGAAGGGAGAGTACAAATATTTCGTCGCTTACGCTGTATGGGCTGCTGGCCTGACGCAGACTTTTTCAATTTAATTCTAATACGTGCATCTTCATGAATAGTGCCGGTAAGTGTTTATTTTTTGGGACCCTCAAGAGAAAAATTTCGTATCAAATTGTTTAATCAAGTTGTGAATTTACCATCAATTTTTAATCATCAATATTCTTATTTATTTATTAATTTACTTTATTTTTTTAAAACTTATTATTTTTCGGTCATTCCTGGAATTCCGGGAATTCCGGGTATTCCGAGTATTCCGGTTCCGGTTCCGAATTCCAGCATTCCTTATTTTCCAAACTACCCAGTCAAACTGTACTATACTTTCATTACGAGGATCAGGCTTGCTTGTAATAAGTCGAGGAAGACAAAACTTCCGAAAATTTGACATCGTTGAACGCGATTTAAAGGCTAGGCCATTTTGATCAGTATTAACCTACGATACCTCGTTCTCTCCTCGCGGCGGGAGGGGGAAGAAAGAAAGAAAGTTTTCTTCAGTCGTCTTTTAACATGATAACTGAAAAGTCCAGAATCTGGACTTTCTTCTGATTGGTCACGAAACAAAAGACAACATTAAATCCTGATAGGTTACTTGAATAGAAGTGTGAGTTTCGGAACCGGAGCGATTTTTTGTTAGCTAAAAGTGTTAGTAGTTAGTAGTAGTTATTTTTGTTNGTCATTTCAAAAGTCACTGACACCTCGGCAGATGTACAGTTCTATGTAGTACATGGTGGTGCAGGCAATTTAATGAGTTATCAAACTGCGACAGATCTGGGTTTGTTAGACATTGTAAACAGTGTTTCATCCTCAGAAGCATCAAACAACATCATAAAGCAGTATGATGACCGTTTCCATGGCCTTGGAAAAATGAAAAGGAAAATCGCGAAGCTACACATCAACCAAGAAGTCAAAGCACTTGCACAGAAACATAAAAGAATACCATTTAACCTTCGAGACCAGGTAGAAGCCGACATCAGAAAATTAGAAGAGCTTGACATAATAGAAAAAGCCGAGGGCCCTACACCTTGGGTGTCGCCGATAGTAATTGTCCCAAAGAAAACAGGTATACGCATTTGTGTTGACATGAGGGCTGCTAATGAAGCCATAGAGAGAGAACGACATCCTGTACCTACCATTGAAGATCTCATAGTTGACTTGAATGGATCCACTGTTTTCAGCAAAATTGATTTGAATCAAGGGTATCATCAACTGGAGCTAGATAACAGTTCCAGAAGTATAACCACATTCGCTACACATCTTGGCTTATACAGATATAAGCGGCTTAGCTTTGGCATCAATTCAGCCTCTGAAATATTTCAAAAAGCTGTGGAAGAGGCACTTCAAGGAATTCCGGGGGCACGGAACATATCTGATGATATAATAGTGTTTGGAAAGTATCAACACGACCTTGATATTGCGCTGCAGGCTGTTCTCCAAAGAATTAGGGACTGCAATCTTACTGCCAATCCTGACAAATGCCTTCTCAATCAGTCTTCAATTGACTTTTTCGGTCATTGTTTTACAGCTGAAGGTATTAGCCTTGACCAGGGCAAAGCTGAATCCCTTCTTAATGCTTGTCCTCCCAAAAATGTGAATGAAGCAAGGAGCTCTCTGGGCATGGCCCAATATCTGTCAAGATTCATCAAGAACTTTGCATCAATTTCAGCTCCTATTCGTCAACTTACATGCAAGGATGCAAAATGGGTATGGGGACCCCAGCAACAGCAAGCATTTGATTCTCTGAAAGCTAATATGATTGCACGTCCCAATCTCATGAAGTACTTTGACCCTCTCCTTGAAACAGAGCTAGTTGTAGCTGCTAGCCCCAATGGCCTTAGGGCCATTCTTACACAAGTGTCACCCACCAATGAAAGACATGTCATTGCCTATGCAAGTCGTTCCCTCACAGACTGTGAAAGCCGATACAGTCAAACAGCGCGGGAAGCACTCGCAGCAGTGTGGGGCGTAGAAAATTTTCATCTCTACTTGTATGGGTCAACATTTTGCATCGCTACTGATCACAAACCCTTAGAGGCCATTTTCAACAAGTAAACATACAAAGAAACTGCAAGAATTGAGAGGCTTCAATTACGTCTTCAACCTTATAAGTTCAAAGTTGTCTATAAGCCTGGTTCAGAAAATCCGGCCGATTACATGAGTCGTCATCCTATTCATAACTCAAAAGGAACTGGTCACAAGTCTCGGATTGATACCTCTGTCAATTTTGTTACTGTCAACACATTACCTGATACTGTATCACTTCAGGAAATTCAGGATGAAACATCAAAGGACAAAACACTACAATGTTTATCAGAAGTACTACTATCACAACAATGGCATAAGGTGAGCAAAGATGTCGGTGCCTTCAAACATGTTCAACAAGAATTGTCAGTTGCCAACGGTGTTATACTGAGAAGAACAAGAATTGTCCCAAAAACATTACGCAACAAAGTATAATTACCCTTACTCACAGTGGTCATCAAGGAATAGTGAAGACAAAGTGTCTGCTTAGAGAATCTGTGTGGATTCCTGGGATGGACAGGATGGTAGAAGAAATGGTGAGTCAATGCATTCCATGTCAGGTAGCTAACCATAGCTCATTACCTTCATGCGAGCCATTGAGTATGTCTGCTTTGCCATCTGGTCCATGGCAGGAACTTTCGATTGATTTCTGCGGCCCCTTTCCTGGTGGCGATTATTTACTTGTTGTCGTGGATGATTACAGCAGATATCCAGAAGTGGAAATTCCTCATCCAGACAGCATTTTTTCCAGGCAAGGAATTCCTAATGTTGTAAGAACAGACAATGGACCTCCTTTCAATAGTCAGGATTTTCACTTATATGCCACACACCTTGGTTTTAAGCATCGTAAAGTGACTCCAGCATGGCCCAAAGCCAATGGAGAGGTAGAGAGAATGATGAGAACTCTGGAGAAAGCTATAAGGATAGCAGTTATTGAACATAGGAGTTGGAAGCAAGAGCTCTTTACTTTCCTGCGCCAGTACAGAGCAACCCCCCATAGTACAACTGCTAGATCACCCTCAGAGCTTCTGAATGGTAGGAAATTAAAATCTACACTACCCATCCACAAGCAGGAACAACCATTCCATGATGTCAGACAGACAGATGCCAACAAGACAGAGAAGATGAAAGCTTATGCAGATAAACACAATCATGCTAAGCACTCTGATTTTGAGGTTGGAGATAGAGTTCTCATTAAGCAACCTAAACACAACAAGCTTTCAACCCCTTTTTGTCCAGAGCCATTGGAGATAACACAAAAGAAAGGGAGTATGGTTACTGCTCAAAATGCAGACCACTCAGTGACAAGAAATAGCTCATTCTTCAAGAAGCTTCCTTCAAATACTCCAGTGTCTCCGAATTTAAATGACTGTGATGATGAAATTCAAGGGGACTTACCGACGCCAGTTGTGCATGCTGATGAATCGTCTTGTCAGCCAAGAAGATCTTCACGCATCAGAAGACTTCCAACACATTTAAAGGACTATGAGCTATAGGCTGTTTACTGGGACATTTAGAACATTGATTTTTTGCACTTGTGAACTTTACTTATGAACTTTAGAAGTTACGGAAATGCTATTATAACTATTGTTTTGTTTTCCATAAGAGAGGAGAGATGTAGTGTTGTGACGTAACATGGACATGCGCAGTTTGGCAGCCCGAGGTCGGAAGGAGGATTGTATGCTAGAGTTTAATAAAAAAGCTCCATTTCTACATAGCGAACTGCGTCATATTCCACACCATCCAATATTTCTTGGTCTTTGGTTTTGTTTTCTCCAATAAAAGCAGCATCGATTCCCATTGATCTCAGGTATTTAACTTGGTCTTCAACAATCGACAAAAGAAGTGAAATGACAATGAACAAGGGACTAGAAGAGAATCCGTGGCCTTTCGAGCTTAAGAATTTGAACACTCTAGGCAGCAGTTGAAAGATTGAGCTCTTTCCAAACTCCGTCGGTAACTGTCCACTGAAAAATCTCTCCTTCCCATAATGTTCTCGATAACAAGTGTTTTTTCAGATGATTCGCTAACCGGAAACACAGCTAAGCTTTCTATAAGCGCTTGCTGAAGGTCATTCACGAACTTAACGTTCTTTGCAACCTTGGTCAAAGACTTTACAACAAAGTGTTAAGATTAGATTTTGGCGCGCACAGAAAACTAAGTAAGCGTAAGCGCCAGTTGCTCGACATACCTGCCTGACCCGTGCGACGAAATAACTTCACGGGATTGGCAAAGTTTCAGTCACAGCAAATTATACAAAAAAATCTAGAAAGATTTAAGTTTACATCTCGACGAACGTTTAAAGCGAGCATATTAACGCCTGCAACCATTTTGTTTTATACGAGCCTCGCAGACTTTTAGCACGTTCTCTTGTGACACCTGTGAAAGCATTCAGTGTAATTTCCGGTAAGATTTTTGCGGACAATCTCATCGATTTCTCTTGCATTGTGTGCTGAGATTTTCACCTCGAGCAAAGCTCCGTCACACGGCCCAAACAAACATGGCGAGCAACTGAGCTTCTTGTATATGTCCGTGCTAAAACACACAAAAGGGCTCTAAAGCACATTTCACTTTGATTGGGAAGAAAAACACAAAGATTTTCTGGCACCAATCAGATGCCAGAACGACTGCGACCGTTTGGAGCTAGTCTTATAAGACAATGTCCCCAGGGGCTCTTCCGCCCTAGCTTGAAATCGACTCACAGCCCCTGGGTCTCCGAGGATGTCCACTAACTGGAAGGCAAGTAATTTAGCATGTATGATTTACATGATTTAGTATTTGTTCAACTTCATAATGGAGATGGATTTTAAAATACTACTTGTAGTACAGAAATTGAGTATTTAGTTAAATTATCTTTTGTTTTCTCAAATATTTTTATGAGTAAACAACAGCCTCTTAAAAAATGAATCTGAAAAGCTAAAGCACAAGCTATACTCAGCGTAAAGGGCCTCTCGATCAAAGCATCTGGGTTAAATCCGAACCTGTGGATATAATAATTATGTAAACAGTGAACTACAAACACTTTACATTCATCATGTTCAATTTGCTTGGATACACCCTAAAATGAATTACTCTTGTAAATCAATCATGATATTTCCATTAAATAATTGTTCAATGACTGTGAAATACTTTATTCACATAAGGGGTGGATTACTGAAGTGTCTGGGTTATAGGAAGGCTATGTTACATCAGAGAAAAAAGGAAAACAGCATAGCAAATACAACATATGCCCCAAACTTTATCAGACACACAATCTATCAATTTAAGGGTGTGATGCTTTGAGTGTGTGCGTTAAAGAAAGTAAATAAAGCATATTGAAAAGTAGTGGAACACATGTCTTATTATTTTGCTTGGACAACAAAAGGATAGCAAGTGTGGAAACTAGGAAAACAAATCCTAATTTGGTTTCTTAGTCAGACTTTCAATGAGCACCATCATGGCTTGGCTTTGCTGTTGTTGCTATTGGACAAGTAGAGTTTGCATGTTCTGGTTCTGTTGTTGTTGCTGCTGCATAACCTAGATCATTTGTTGCATCTACATTTGCTGATCCTGGGCTCTTTTACCCTGGTCTGCGAGCTCTGCCTTTTTTACTTCTAACTCTTTCTCCGTCAGGTCTCTCTCTAGCTCGCACTTCTCCCTTAAATACTCTACTGTGTCACCTCCACTCCTCCTCTGTGACCGCTTCCTCTCCTCCTGATCCTCTCCCTCATCTTTCTGTCTCTTCTTTATCTGTCCTATGCGGTCCATGGCAACTCCTCTTGCTTCCTCGGCTTTTGCTCTATCTGCCTCTACTTTCTTTCTGTCCTTATCACTATTTCTATTCTCCTCAGCTACTTTCTCTTTGTCTGATATTTCTTCTAATAGCTGGTCTAGCTCAGTGATGTCACTTGATGTACCACTGCTACACTTGTCTGCTTTGTTCTTTTTTAGATACTCTTTCTGAATATCAGTGAACCTTTCCCTTACACTTCTCATTCCTACTTTAAACTTTATCTCCTTGCAGCTAATTTAAGGACTCTGCAATTTTCGTCCAAAGCTTTCCTTTGTTCACTGTACCTTTCTTAAACTGAAATGGCTCTACTACTATAATCTCTCTACACAGATAAATGTCATGCCTTTCAGTCCACTCCATAGGCCTAAAATAGACACAAATTAAGGGTAGGTCTATATGGTGAAAAGATGTCCTTGGCAGGAGGGTTACCCTCCAAACCGTGAGAACTTGTCATGTACATTTTCTTTTGTTGTTAGGAAATATTTGTAGCAGAAGCTTAGTAGCTAGCTGCTAGTCGAGAAGCAATATTTTTGAGTCAAATATAATAATCCATAGTGAGGTTTAAACTCACACACACCTCAGTGTGCCGCAGGTACATTGCGACTCATGATTATCAAAGCAAGAGGAAAACCAAAGCTGGAATAAAGCTGAACTACCTGTAGTTGTTCGTTTCTTTTCTCTTACTTTTTTTTTTTCAGTGAACAATCCACATAATTATAAAGCGAGTTAACATGCTAGAGTAGGGATAAGGTAGTGAAAATATTAATGACACCAAATTCCAATCACTTCAAAAACTTAGCCAGCGGGAAAGCAAATATGAATACTCTAAAGATTTCGATATGGTGCCTCGTTTTATGGGCCGGATCTATCAGTAGTAAGGAATAATCGCTGCCGTACCGCGATCGCTTGTTTTCTGCGCTGCTGTCGGATAGCGTGCCTACGAAAAAACGACAAAAATATAAACAAGTTTGCCAACTCATTTTTAATTTTTCCCTCGGAACAAAATTAAGAAGATTGCTTCACACTAAGAAATTAAAACAAGCGATGTCATTTAAAGAATAAGAAGAAAATCCCTTACCTGAATGTCATACACTCGCTACAACGTCAACCAGCAATTTTCCCGTCGTAAACTACAGGCGGCGGCAGAGAGAAGAGAGCGAGTAATTAAACGCACGCGCACTGACATGTTGAGTCGAGAAATTTTACTTCCGATCCCGAAGCCTTCCGAGAAGCGTCGATGCTAAAATTCCTTATAATCACCGCCGGCGAGGTGGTTATAGTTTCAAAATGGCCGCCTCCGCTTTGTCGATGTGTCTGAAGAGGAAATTAATTTAATGAAAAAAAATGCCATTCCGAGGAATACCAAACACGCCACAAAGTTTGGAATGACACTCTTCAAAGGTAAGGTGTAAAATTGTGCCAACCGTAACAAAGAAACCATTTAAATCCCCGTGAAAATTTTGCTTATTTCGACACGCATGCATAAATCAAAACAACTACCTTAACTTTTCGCAACACTTTATTTACTTAACAGAATGGTTTCAACAACAAACCGAATTTACCACTGACTTTGAGGCAATGGAGGTCAACAAGATGAATAAATGTTTGTCAAAATTTTACGTCTCAGTCAGGAGGAAAGACGGGACTTTTTACAAGAGAAATAGTCTGTTGTCTGTGCGAGCGGCTCTCGCTCAGTTGTTCACTGACGCGTGACAGGGACAAATAAAATTTAACATTCCTTTGCTTATTTCTATAATCACCTGAGTAATTATACTAAAACAATTATTCGCCTCAGGCACTTGAAGATTGGTGAATATTCACGAGCCTGGGGCGAATAACTGTTAAGTATTATGAATATCAGAACAGCTTTAGCTTCCTCATATTCATATCTCTGTGCGCGCCAAAATCTAATCTTCGCTTTGTAGTAAAGTCTTTGTAGTAAAGTCTTGAGTGTTAAGAAAACTAATACCCCTCGAAAACTAAGACCTTTCAAAAAAATTTTGGGTACGGGATATTTTAAAAGAGAGAAGAAGTCAAGTTGATCTTTACAACCTGGACATAGTTAATAGAGCGAACTATGACCCGGAGGAGCTACAACTTGGGAGATAGTGAATTTTACTTGAGGTGTTTACATGCAGGCTACCGAGCTGCAAAATTAAACGTGGAATATAGATAAGTAAACTTTTCGCTGCTAGATGTACACTGTCTATTTAATTCACAAAGAAAAAGTGAGGTTTCCGTTTCGCTTTTCACTACACATTAGTGTGGACGGGGCCTGTTACAATTACGCAATTATGATGTTCTAGTCAAAGTTCATGTAACTTGACCCCTGTAAATGCGTGACTTTAAATTTGCGTGACATTTGTGTTACAGTTGGCCTTTGTGCCATTTGATTCCTTCGGATAGTTCTCCAGCCTACTCCACAGGCTTTCCCAAGGTTCAAAAACGCTGCCTCGTCCCCAGTCGCTCGCGATCGAATATTTTTGGGTAAGCGGGGGCGAAGGGAGTGATGGGAAGGGAAGGGAAGGGAGAGGAAAGGGGAAAGCCTGCGAAATCTTGTGTCGAATATATGCGAAATCTGTCGAAAATTTGTAAATAGGTTCATACAGCGAGAATGGCGGATTTTTCTGAAGACGAAGCACCTATTCCATCAATTGAAGAATTTTTTGATGATACTCTTCGTGATTTAGAAGTTTCCATCGGAGAGTTATCGATTGAAGGTAAGTTGGTCACATATTAGAATATCCGGCCACAAAAATGTCTTACTTGAGGCCACCGCAGTCCCGCAGTGGTGTTTAATAATGCTTCCCCCGCAGTCCTTATTTGCAACCAGAGATATAAGCATAAGTTATATACCCACCTTCGATTTCCATTCAGAGATGGTGCATGGAGATGAAGTGTAACGTTTCTCGGCCATAAATTTCCCACGTCTTAGTTCGTGCCTTCGCGATTACCTCCGCAGTCGCATATTTCTTATGAATCGTTCTGTAATGCTGACCCAATCCACTTTCTTAAAAAAATATCATATTCTGACGGCAATTTTGCTCCGGACAGATGATTTTTCTTATTCTTACAGCCTTGTGGACCGGTCTAGGAAATTCCGGGACATCCGCCATCAATGCGTTTGCCATCTTGGATTACAGGATTTGCCAGTCGCTTCGCCTTCTCTCCCCATCCCATTACTCCTTTCGCCCCCGCTTTTCTTAATAATTAACTCGAATATCCCCAAAATAATCGCGATCGAGCGACTGGGGACGAGGCAGGTTTTTCTCTCCCACTGATTTTCATCTTACGCCCTTTCACTATTCACTGTTTACTGTTCACTGTTCACGTCCGGCGTTCATCCCAAGTTAACTTCTTAAGTTTTGGTTTCAAGCCACCGGCGTATAGGGACTGATATGTAAGTTGTATTCGCTTGTTTTCGCGTTTGTAGCTTGCCTTATTTATGCAAGGTAACGTTTCTCTTGTTATGATCTTATGCTTTTGAGTGTGTTATTTAGTCACCGCCTTCGCATCGTCAGCGGCTATTTCTAGTTATAATTCTGTTTCGTCATTGGTCATTGGTCGCTACGGAGTCACGTGAGAAGGGGCACGAGCCTGGGAAGATCAGTTGTGTACGATCCTTTTGGGAAGGTCGGACGGTGTTTTCTCAACACTGAGAGAACTAGATGACTGCAGAAAATATGAGTGGAAGGGACCCCCTTTCACCGGTAGAAGAAGAAAATTTACTTTCTGAAGAAAACGAGACAGCGAATTCTTCGCACCGGGGTACAGACAAAGTGCTTGCTGATGTATTGTCGGCCATGACCCAAATGAGTTCTACCATGTCGTCCATGTAAAACGCAATGAAACGGTTAGCTGGCGCACCAGAAGACCATGTTACACCATCAAAAAGGAGAAGAACGTCTCCTACAACTAATACCATGGGTGACAGTGGAGATCCAGACCCTGAGAAGTCAGATTCTGAGGAACTTAATTTCCCGCCCAATGGCGACCCGCCAAAACTGGGCAGCTCTGACGCATTGCTCAATGAAATTGCTCAAGACTTTGAGTCGGATGAGCAAACTGACCCAAAAGTCGCTCAGAAATTGGCGGATATTGTCAATAAGCGATGGGGTTCTAAGTTAGAGGAAGCCAAATTAAAAGAAAAATTGGCGAAATACAATCGACCCGATAATTGCGAGAAATTAACTGTGCCAAAGGTCAACCCCGAGATCTGGAATAAGCTGAAGCACGTGACCAGGAGCGCAGATTTACGCCTTGCCAACATGCAGAAAGTACTTGTCAAAGTCGGTAGTGCAATCGCTAAATCGACTGACACACTGTTGGCTATCCGTGCAGATCCTGAGAAGACTTCAGCGTCGGCTCTCACTGAGAAATTGGGGAAATTAATCACGCATAATGCTGACGCTCTGGCATTGTTAGGCCATGTAAACATTGACCTATCATACCGTCGACGCGACGCCATCAAACCAAACTTAAATAACGAATATTCCTCGTTGTGTGGCTCTCAAGTACCCATCACGAGTTTATTGTTTGGAGATGAGCTGCAATCTCAGCTTAACAATATCAAAGCAACTAACAAAATTGGCCATGCGACTACTGCAAAGCCATATTATATTTCTTATGATTCTTTGAACATTGCCCAGGAAGGATGTAGTGTATTGAGAACACAGTAAAAGTACTTGTACTAGTGTTAGTGATATTACTGTAAGATTACTGAGTGATGTGAAAGTACTGTTACTAAGTAAGACTATTCTACCAGCTTATAAGCTACTTGATCAACGAATAAAGAGAGAATAGTAGTAAGCAATTGAGGAGTGTGTGTCTCCACTAAATGAATACACAACAGCTCCCCAAAAAGAAACACACCTTATTTCTACCTCAACAGCCAGACTTGGTACATCCATTACATCAGAAGCTCACACTTCTGATATGCCACTTGTCAGGAAATCACTTGAAGTCAGATGGCTTTCGGAATCAGTTACCTCACTCATCCTACAATCTTGGAGAAAGGGCACCAAACAACAATATAAACCATTCATCTCTAAATGGGAACAATACTGTTGTCAAAGGAAGATTAATCCCTTTTCAGTAACTATAGAACATGGGATTAATTTCTTTGCAGAACTTTACCACACAGGGATTTGATACAGTGCCCTCAGCACTGCATGCTGTACTTTGTCTACTGTTTGTTTTACATCAGAGCATTACACTTTTGGACAGCATCTCCTAGTCTGTCGTTTCCTCAAAGGAATTTTTGAGTGCAGACCCTCTCTCCCAAGGTACCAAGAAACTTGGGGTGTTATTAGACTATCTAGCTAAACTTGGGCCACCTGTGAAACTTAGTTTTAAGAACTTGACTTTTAAAGTTGATGGCGTTGCTTTCGGGACAGCGTCGCCAGACTCTGCACACATTATCAATTGATTAATAATGCATGAAAAGGCTGTTTTTGCCATTAACTCATTGTTAAAAACTTCCAGACCGGGTAAACATTTAGCTTGTATTGAGTTTCAGGCCTATGCACCAGATGTAAGTCTTTATATTGTAAAGCATCTTCAGCAATATCTGAAGCACACATATACTCTTCGAGGTAATGTAAAGCAGCTTCTTATTAGTTACTCTAAGCCTTATAAAGCTGTTTCCCCTGATGCAATAAGGAGATGGATTAAGGCTACACTGGTTGATGCTGGAATTGACACTTCGAAGTACAGTGCACACAGCACTCGTTTAGCATCTACATCTGCAGCAGAAGCAGACAGCATATCTATCGCCACAATTTTGAAAAGTGCGGGGTGGGCGGGGTGGTCCCAGGAGTCCATATTTTTTT